ATGTAATACTGTTAAAAAATACATTCTGTTTGTAATATTAATAGTGAGCATATTATATAGGCTGTCACACAATATTTTCTATAAAAATATAATATATGATATGAAAACACGTTTTAGCACCATTTGTATCTTAACAACTACACACCTGTTTACTACCCTTAGTCTTGTTTTCATGTCAATTGCAATGACAAATGTTAAGTAAAATATTTAAGTTGCCTGTAAATATACAAATAATTCCTGGGCAGGATATTATATCTGGAGCACCAAAGTGTTGAATATTCAATGTATCTGACATCAAAGCCAGTGTAAATATACAGACTAATCAGATTGGCTCTACAAATTACCTATTACAGCAATACAGATTTCTAAATATTAAATTCGCATAATAAAATACAAAAATTTGCCACAGCCAGACTAAAAATTATGTCAAATAAAATAAGCAGTGGTCTTTGACTGAATGTTACATTTGGATTACCAGCTAATATTCAACTATACTGATCTTTTTTTAAATAAACTAGTGAAATAATAAGTGCTAACCAATGGTGAACTTATTATAACAATTCCTTTTAAAAAATACTAACTATGCATTATCATCTCAATAATACCTCAAAACATAATGGTAAGTGATAATGGTAACTTGGATTTGTACGGTGTAAACACCAAGGATAGCCCATAAGTAAAGAGACATATTTCCAGTGGGGTCCTTGTGGTGGTGATTGGGCAGTACTAGCTCATAAGTCTAAAATACATATTTCCAGTGGGGTCCTTCTGGTGGTGATTTAACATGGTGAGACCACTAGTTTTCCAATATGAATATTAAAGTTATACACCTTTGAAGAAAATATTGTAATGCCTAAATTTAAGTTAGTGGGATCACTGGTTGTCCAACTCCAGCAAGAATGTTTCAGTTTTAGTGAAACCACCGTAGTTTATAACTGGTTGTCCAACTCCAGCAACAATGTTGCACAAATTTGGTGAAACCACTGGAGTTTCTAAGTTATTGGACCACTCATTCATACCTCTGGTGAATCCACTGCAGTTTCTAAATTTAACTCCAGCAACAATGTTGTACACCTTGGGTTAAACCATTAGATTTTCAAAATACAATTTATTGGGAACACTGGTTCTCAAATTTGAAATTTAAAGTTACACACTTCTGGTATAACCACAGGTACTACACTGCAAAATCAACATACACGTTGCTCAGATTTGGTGGAACCACCGATTATGCCCAATCTGATATGAATGTCACATAAACTTGGTGTACAGTAACCAAAGGTGGTTGCATGTTTTTGCTGAAAACACTGGTACAGTAATACCATGTTTTTGTGGAACCAAAGATTGTGTCCAATTTAAACACAAATGGTGCACACCTTTGGTGGAACCACTTGTGGATTTAAGATTTAATGTCAACATGAATGTAGTGTACCTTCGTTAGGATCACTGGTATTGTTGTAGTACATTCAACATGAATGTTGCACACCCTTTTTTAAAACTACTGTTAAAGCAAATTCAACATGAATGTTGCAACAACTTGGTTAAACAAATGGTAGTATTCAATGTCAATATGAATATTGATCATTTGTTAGAATCCTTATCCTTGCAAATCAATGTGAATACTGCATAATTTGGTAACAACCGGTACTGGCTACATAAAGTGGTGTTGTTAGTATCACAATGATTCAGAACCTCAAATTCTTGAAAAACTATTATAAATTCATGTAATTAACACTAGGAATGATAAAAAACAGGCAAGAGTTATGTAGAGCATTCTAACAAGCCTTATAAAGTAGTACAAGAAAATAACACAATTTTTAAAATCATAAGTTAGATCTTCCTGTATTTCCAGACAGTACTTGTTTATTAACTAACTAGAATGACAACAAATATTGAAATAAAGGCTTATTTTGTCAGTGACAACTAGTTGTGGCATTTCTAAAAGTTACCATAAATCTTTTAATTAATTGAACCCAGTATTATATTTATGACCCATGCACTATTATTAGCTCACTCACTACCCTATTAACCAATTAACGATCTACTACTCTAATATTAACCCTATAGGGCAACATTTCAATAACCATCAGGAAGGCAAACTTACCAACATTTAAATTTGTGGTGAACACTCCTGATGAATTGATGACTTAGAAGATGACAATTAATAAAGTTGTTTAAAGATGATACAGGTACAACGCATGTAAAGCGTGGATTGCTTATGGTAATCTTTAATTTTCAGTCATTTGTGTGAATTTCTATTAAAGAAAATGTAGTCAGTTATTGATTTTTCAAATACTTGATGTATACTTAAATACAGTGACCAGTATTTCATTGTTACCCACCCAGAATATCAAACAAAAGAAACAATCTAGGGTTTCCATCAGAGCTTTTACAGTACAACCTGTACAACAAGTACACTCACAATTGGTAATGAAAGTCAACCGGTTCCATATCACAGTGAAAATAACATAAAAAAAAAAAACACAGTTATTACGACTTTTTGACAATTAAAAGTAATCATAATAATAGTGTTTCTGATGGTTTGCATAGCAAGTGACTCATTAATAATGATGGTACATGAGGTACCTGCTTCTTCTAATGAAAATCAGAAAATATTTTTGAAAAAATCCATAAATAGCTTAAAACAAATTGTTTATGGTTTCAATAATTAAGTAATAACTTTATAGATTTTTGTTTAAAAAAAAATTGTGATACTTGTCAGGAGCAGTGTGTACTATCATAAATCAGGGTGAATATGCTGGTCGTTTTCTTTCTTCTTGTTTATGTCATCTCTACCTTCTCTGTTTTTTAATTCAAGGCATTCAGCAGAATCGTGTGTGTCACATACACTCTCCCAGAGATTGGAGGCCTCTGTATCACTGAAGTAGTTAGGCTCCCCGTAGTAGTGTGTTGGGTACACCAGTAATGGATGCACTGAAAAAGTTATGAGATCTCTTGGGGAAAACTGATCCTTCCAACCTTTCCTGTAAACACAGAGGGAGCATCTTAGACAAATTCAACAATACTAAATAATACAGAAAAATAGTAGTACAGCAGTAGCAGTAGTAGTAGTAGTAGTAGTAGTAGTAGTAGTAGTGTAGCAGCAATAGTTCTGGTAAGATCAGCAGAGTAGTAGCAGCAGCAATGATAGTAATAATAATTACAGAGACAAGCACTAACACAATGCTATATGCCACTACAAACTACATAATACTACATGTAAAATGACAGGCCTGTGGCTAGCTTTGTGGAGGAGGCAAACACTTAAAAGTAATAATCCAGAGGAGAGGAAATGAGATTTAATAATAGGGAACTTTCGATTTGTGCAATGATGCGACGCTAGAACAGAATCACTTATGTGAACGTCCTACCAGGCGTCCTACATTCTCTGCATATGTAGATTTGGTCAAATTGAATTCTAGGATCCAAGAGACAAGAACTTAACGTTCTTGCATGCGAAGATGACTTTTAGTGACGTTCTATGATCTACCGTCGTGCAATCAAAAGCTCCCTAACAACCACAGCATGGATTATTGCATTTAAATGATTCCACTCAAAAAGAGGATTATGTAATTGTTAGAAATTGTTGAAAGTATAATAATAATGATATGATGATGATGATGATGATGATGATGATGATGATGGTGGTGATGTTTTTTTTATCTGGCTACCCTCATCCATCTTATGTTTATTTGTTCAGTGCTTGAATATTATTATCATTGGTTTGTGTACACTACTCTGTATTGAAAAAGTCACACTTGAATAGAACTAATTGGCAAAATACTAAGTGTAATATGCATTAATTTGTTTGTATCATTACAATTATGACTGTTATAAAATTGTTAGAAATCTAATATTATTAATTATTGTTAATATTATATTATCATTATTGTTAACATCACCCTCTGCATGGTTGGCATTGCTGTAGTTGCTGGCACCACTGTTGTCATTGTCAGCATCACCATAATAATGCATTTAATTTAATGTTATGATACAATATATTACTGTTACAAGCACAAGTATCATAACATTATTTATCTTCATTATGAATAACTGTAAAAATAATTCCATAAATAATGGTCTTGTTTCATTTCAAGAACACATAAAGGAGTTCGGGCTATAGTTGTTCTCAAAGTATATATGTACTGTACATATATTTTGAATATGAAATCCTAAACTATAACAACTTTCATTATCATTAACATTATCATTTATCATTTCTATGACTTCAGGGCCAATGCACTTTCAATATTAAAGCCACATAAAATTTGGACAGTGTCACTGCAGGTGTAGAGGGGTAGAAGCTATAGGCAGCACAAGCATTAGTCACAGTAATAAACAAAGTACTCTATAAAATCATAGATAAAAAATACATTTGCTATTTTCATTTGGGCAATGAATAATGATCTATACATATAATATTATACTGTTATCTGTACAATGATATGCATGAAATCTGGGCTTAGTGTAAAAATATACCAATTCTGGAGGGCCAAGGTTCTATAAAGTATACCTTCTACCTTTTCATTTGATGAATACCAGTTTACAAAATAGTTTAAAACATGGAAATATAACAATGGCAGTATTTATATTCAATTCTAAAACAATTATTTTTACAATAATTTTACAAGATTTTATAAAAACCTAAAGACATTAAAAGACAATAACCTCATAAGCATGTTTTAATATTTTCCTTTTTGTTGGAATTTTTCATCTTGAAAACTATTAGTTTAAGTGCAATGTACAGACAAATAATTCTTTGTATGCTAAGCAAATACTGTACTCTAAAACTGAAATTTTTGTGTATTTTACAAAAATAATAAAAAAGTTTCTGTAAATTCTATGCAAGTATACTCCAAAATTGAAGTTTCTGCTTCTAATGCAAGTTACTCCAAAATCATTACTTATTATCTACTTATTTTTGAGCATGAAACAAGACTTTCAGCATAAATCAATTTATTCCGGAAAAACAAACAACATACAAGCAAAATACAAACACACAAAACAAACTAAAATGTCACAAATGCTGGCCCAGGGGACTCCAACACCAAACCAAATCACTTTCCAAGGAAAACTTATTTCAGGGACTCTATTTTTTGGTATTTCAGAGTGTTGGCCAGAATCCAAAATTGGAGTTTTTGTGCCTGAAACAAACAGTTTGAAATCAGTGTATTTAAGTGTCTTAAAAACTATTAGTACTTGTGTACCATATGCGAAACTCCAATTTTGTACTATACACGTATTACTATACACGTATAATAATTATGCAAAACACAGGATTTGAAATATTTGCATATATTACAAAAAACACCAAAACAATTAGTTTTTTTTCATAGTATGGAGAAAAAAAATTTTAAGAGCACAGTGACATTGCCCAATAACAAACTCTTTAATTTATGAATGTAATTTGGAAAGAAAATGTCATTAGAAACAATCTTTTCTCATTGCAAAACACAAATATACTTGCATTTTAAAATCTTTTAATGTAATTAAAAAAAAGATAAATCAGTCAAGAAAGAAAAAGTTTCACCCAAAATTGACTTGTTAGATAGCACATGGCTTGGCAGTTACACCAATAATGAGAAACTCTTTTCTTGTTGGTAGTGCTTTTTTATTCTGTACTTTACTTTCATAAAACATGCAGAAATTCAGATTTAGGAGTATTTGCATATAGTAGTAAGTTAAAATGTCAAATTCAAGTAACTACATTCATAGCATTTGGAAATTGTTGAACCATTGGTTGATGTATGAACCATAAAGGTAAGTTGGTTGAACATTTACACAATGGTTGAATCACACCATTGAACCATGAAGGTATTATTTGTAACCATCAACAAATATCTGTGGAGCTGATTCAACCAGTGAGATATCGGATAACAATGCAGCTCGATGAACCTGATTTATTGGTTTGGTGGGTTCACAATGTATTAGTCGTGGTGGTGTTAGTAGCACCATAGTTGTGTACCATGGTGACACAAGTTGTACCATGGTGGTATTGGGTGTAATGGCAAAAGCAAGACAAATGAACATGCAGAAAGTCAATAAAAATACAGTCATGCACAAGCACAGATCAGCAGCAAAACCATAAAAGATATTTTATAAACATTTTCACCTTCAATGATAAGCACACAATCTTACATGACAACAAATATTGACAACATTGTCAAGAATTCCATTGGTTGGTACAGTAATAAAAAAATTACATTTTTATAAAACAAAATGAAGCAAAAACAAATTTTTATCAAACAAGGATAATACTATTATGAATTGTACCCCTACTATAAAGCATAAAAGGCTATTGATGATGTGAGAGGGGTAGCTTTTAACCTAGTCACTTTATCTCACCGAATATCATAACTCTGAATGCTCTGGCAAATATAAGTTGGCGCTGTTTCTCCAGTCATTGTCGTTGACTTTCTCTCGGTCCTCCTTAGAAAGACAGAGTGACTTATCTTTTTCGGTACAAACTTGATCCCAGATTGTCGAGGCCTCTGTGTCACTAAAGTAATTGTTATCACCAATGTAGTGAGTGGGGTACATAAGAAGAGGATGAGCGGAGAGTGTGATTAAATTGCGATTAGTAAAATGTGATTTCCAAGCCTCCCTGTAAAAAATTCATAGCAATATGAAATATTAAGATTTGAAGCATACGCCACATGGTGTACTAAATGCTTATAATTTATAATTATTGCCACTTTGTCATGCAAAACTTCAAGACTTATATGAAATATTGCATGTAAAATTGCAATTGCAGTTTAAAGATACGGTCTGTGTTAAATATGGAAAATATCAAAATTTATCAACTTTTCATCACCATAATAGGCAGAAGGAAAACATTTTTTTTTATATGCCTGCTAAATGGTGAAAATCTTCTCCATTCTAATTTTCAATTAAAAGCAAATAATTTGTTTAAACCTACAAAGTAAGATATTTTAAAATTTAATTATCCATTTTTAAGTCAATAGCTCATCACAGACGGCATATCTTTAATATACTATATATCAAGAGAGGCTTGCCATTACAAAACCAACATTCTGGCCTGGTTCTCACGATTTTTGTCACGGATGCTGGTTTTGGCATGGTAAGCATCAATTATGCAAATATTTCATAAGAAACAAGTACATCATTCATCATGATCTTCATCAACCTCAATCTACACAGGTTTTTTTTTTATAGCAAAGATCTTATAATTATAAGATAACGTTCTCCGCAATTTCCGCATGCAAATTCTGTAATAACCCTTGCCCTCTTGCAAAAGTGATTACTTTTTAACTTTGACAGCTTTGACCATACACCTTCTATGGAAACAACTAGGATGCCCTCTCCCAAAAGTGATTACTTTTTTGCCAAATCGACGCTTCTTGTTACACGTAAATCACGGAGAATGCCATCTTGTTTTTTTAAGATCCTTGTTTTATAGCACTTGTAATGCTCTGTCCAGACAATCAAATTTTATTTACCAAAAAACTGCTGTATGCCCATATATAGTCACGATGATGCCTACGGTATGTGATGACAGTAACCAACGTCTGTTGACAAGAGGGCGCCATCTGGCGTCGTGATGACACGACTGTGGTACTCTATATGTTTTTGTCAAATGAAATTTGATAGGCTGGATAGGGCTCAATATACATAAAATAGAATCCATGCAAAGTGAGTTTAGTTGAGTTATGAAAAATATAAAAGTAAAATCATGCCAAAATGAAAAAATAACGTGCTAAAATGGATTTGATGAATGATACCACAGTGAAACTTGTATGGCAATCACCACACAATTACAATACTGTTGTTACAATAGACAGCAGAAGTACAATACTGAAAAAAAATCATGTTGGAATATACCTACATCATAGAACTTTAAATTTATTGTGTCATGTATTTCACATGTTATTGTTGAGCACCGCTATAATTATTAAAACTACTTGCTTTAGAGATAGCTTTCATTGTGTACACTAAATGCATCAGAGATGGTTGCATTGTGTACGTATGCGTACTCCACGCATCAATGCCCCACAGCCCAGTAGCTTAGCTTTAAAATCATCTTTGAAAAACATTTTAGATTATTTGTTCAAATTTTTCACTTTTATGTTGAACCAAAAAACGTAGATAATATTTTACCTGTAATGGTTCATTGGCAATCTGTACACTTCTTCAGACTGAAGCCTGTGCTATAATGGTCTGGTTTGGTCCAGGTTGGACTGGACTGCGCCGCCAACTGTCCTCGATGTTGTAACTGTGGTATGTCTCCGGGGGCCCCGTTCTGCTTGTAATTTTTCCAGCGGCAAATCCTATCCCCTGATGTCTCTGTTGATGCTGTGATCCCTTTTTCTGATGCAGATTCCTTTCCTTTATTTTCCTTCTATCTATGTTGGATTCTTTTCCCCCCAGAGATGTACCACTGTTAAAACATCAAGGACAGTTGGTGGTGCAATCCATTGCAACCTGGACCAAACCAGACCTTTATAACACAGGCTTCAGTCGGAAGAAGTTGGCAGTTTGGCAATGAAACGTTACAGGTAATATATTATCTATGGTTTTTGGTTCAACATAAAAGAAAAAAAATTGACCAAATTTAACTTAACACCAGATGAATTTATTAAACATTTTAGACTATGTATGTGTGAACCAATTTTGAGGGCAGCAGTTATTCAACAGTTTATCATGCATGCAAATGAGTATTTGCTTTCTTTTAGGAACTGTAATCTAAATTGTTCTGGTCAGGCCTCCACAACAGAGTGCTAGTTTGTTTTAGTGTCTAATACAGGTACAGTATATGGGTATACCTCCTATCTGTAGTCTTTATACGTCTCTGCAAGTTTTACACATAGCACCATATCGGCCATTAGCAAAACAATATGAATATTTGTCACTTTTATAAATTATTTTTCAACCATATAATAAATACACTGGCATATTTACTGATTCAGTATCTACCAAGAATTGTAATTTTACACACATTAACATACAAACATATAAATAGCCAGTCTCCTTGCTCAACCAATTCTAATTTCTAAACATAGGATTCTTTAGACATCAATTATGTTGTAAGTCTGTTCGTTTTCAGTTTACAAATATTTTAAGACCATGTTTTTTAAGCACTTTTTTTTTTTTTTAAAGTGTGATCCTTGGGTGATACGGAAAGTATATTTACAACTAATTAGGGGTCATTCACAATTACCAGCACTTTCACAAGTGTACAAACTGTATACTAGTGGGGAGGGATGGACAAACTTGAACTCTTTTACATATGCATGAATTGTGGATTCAAAATAACATGATATATTTAAAATAATACAACAATTTATATAAAACATACATATTTTTGTACCCAAGTACAGTATTTTAGTTGACTTCACAAAAAAATTGAGAACGTCTTTGCAAAATCAACATTTTTTACGTACACTTTCAGAGGCGACAGAGGGGGTTCAAACAAAGAGTACTGTTTGTACACTTGTGAAGATGTTGATAATTGTGAACCCTTAACAAGGCATGTAGCTGCATATTAATCAGTCCGAAATGTCTTCAAAGTGACTGCAGCAAAGTCTGTAATCATTGCCATTTTTTTCATTGCCTTGCGCTCACGGAGGCCCCTGCGCCCACATATGGAACGACTAGCAGCATTGGCAAGTGCAGTACCAACTGTTCCTGAGCAATTGCAGCCATACATCGAATGCTGGTCAGCCCACCCACCTGGCAACCATCTTCGTAGGAAGGCTTGGGTGCAACTAAACAGGCTACGATCAGGCACTGGACGTTTTGCATCCAATATGAAAATGTGGGGCATTGCAGAAAGTGATCTTTGTCCTTGTGGGCACATACAGACTTATGAACATGTTATTAGCGAGTGTGCTGTGATTGGCCCTCTTCGCCCACTATCTGAGATTGACAACCCTCAACTGGTGGAATACCTCACCAACTGCCAATTTTGAACTGATTTGTTGTACATGATGTAGTTTAACATACGAAATAATAATAATTGCCTTGAAGATATGGCACACGGACATGTATATATTTCCTTGTTAACTTGTTAAACACAGATAGATGACACTGTAACGTGGAAAAGCCCACGATGCATGTCACTTGAAATAAGAATGTAGACTGCAGTATTAAACAGTAACAGGATAAAAAGGATTTATGGGAAACAGTTCAAGTCTAGGTTTATAATTGTCCAACATATTTTCAATAGCTTCCACCTCTTTGATGACTTGTTTGATAATGGTGAATGACCTATTATAACATATTTACACCACATTAAATAATACAGGGGCCACGTGCTACAGACTTGTGTCCCGTTACTATCCCCACAGATCCTTGCTAAATAACATATCGATGTTGGTTTTTCTTACATAGATATTACGCAGGGAAAAAGCTACTCTTAAGCTGAGAAATCACTGCATCGTACGACGGTCGTCTGACGCTCCCTCTGAATGTTCAACAACATGACAGAGATTGTTGGTGCTGACTGTTGGTGGCTACCTTTAAAGATAATTGGTTGTGACATCATGGCATTGCATTCTACATAGAATCGCATCGGCTGACGACCGTCTGGTGCAGAGTACCTGGCTGTACACGGATGCGCATTCACAGACACAATTTAGTAGAGAATGTGTGCTATTTTTTTTTCTTGTGTTAACCGGGTATAAGGCATAGTTCAGACAAGGTGGATAAACCTGGCTCAACTCACCGGGTTTATCCACGTGCCAGTCTGAACCAGGTGGCTTATCTCAAGCCAGGCTGTGTTCCTATAGTAACTAGGCCTGGTGCGCCACCGTGTTTAACTTTTCTAAGCTGGGCTTTAATCGTTGCGGGGGGTCTTGCATTGACTTCGGGTGAAGAAATTACCAATCAGCATTCAATTATGTACGCTATGAGTGAGCGTACGTTTCGGGAGCAATGTTTTGAAACACGTTTCCTGGTTACGGTTCATTATTATACAAATTCTCGCATGGCTAAACCCGCTAATCTGAACGCCCGGCAAAGTTAAGCCGGGCTTAACGTTGAGCCGGGCTGAACTCAAGCCTGGCTTTCTCCAAGTCTGAACGTAGCCTTCGTCAACTTGACATTATTTATTGAGAAAATTAACATTAGATTGATAATTTGGCAGAACAGAGAAACATGCAAATTATTGCTCTCTGGTAATATACAGAGTATTATGCTGCTGTACATTGTGCACAAGCAACTTTATACCACAACATCCAACAAGGTACCATTTTATAATCCTGCGTGGAGGGAGAAAACAGAGATAAAGTGCCTTGCCAACAGACTACCATATATTTTAGGATTTACTTAGCATTATTTCATAAAGAACAAAGCATAATTGTCCTGAATTTATGCTGTGTCAACCACTCCAACTCAAATTAGCTGGATTGAGGTTGGGCCACCAAGAGTTACAAGCTAAAGTATAAGATCACAGCGGTGACACCAGCAGGGACAGGGGGCATCCCATCCTTGTTGGATCAAAAATAAACAAAAATAATTTGCCTGTCCAAATAACATTATTTTGATTGCTAATCCCTAATATTGTGGTCTAAAAGGAAAATTTGGACCATACTAAACAATCAAAAATCAAGATCATATCTACTTGCTACTAATTTGCATGATAAAATATACTTTTCAAATAGAAAAAAAAAAAACCAAGATTTATATTCAATTAATCAGAAATCAACATCATACCAAAAATATAAAAATAATGAATGTGACTTACTCTGGATGTTTGTCAAACATAAGCGGTAAGTACTCATCGACAGGAACCATCTTACTCAAAGGATTCTGCTCTACAAGTTTCCTGGCTCCTGATTGGCTTAATATGTAGCCTAGTGTCCAATAGGAATAGCTTGGCCAAAGCAGTATATCAGAACCATTGACCCATGATTCAAGGTCAGGGTTAAGTATTTTGCGTCCCAGGTATCTAGAGTGGGATTACAAATGTTGTTTTCGAAAACTAAATATTGGTACTTTTTATTATTTGAACAATAAAAAACAAAAAAATTAAAAATTATCACATTTTCCCTCATCTCATCTTTTACATGTATGATATGTGATAGTGATAATTCACTGTTAATGTTGCCAATGAATGTGACTAGTGTATTTTATAATAATTGTATCTGCATCATAGTTGAACTTACATCAAATCCCAGGTTATGTCCAATTTTGTAGGTTCGTATAAAAGTTGTTTTAGTTTCATTGTAAAGAAAGCCTCAAACCTAACATCATCTTCCAGCACAATCACCTGTTCGTAATTCTTCTCAACTACCTGTGGACAAAGATATATATATATATATAATATATATAGCAACTTCTAATGTGTGTGCTTTGAAATTATCTTCCAATAAATGACTTGATGCATATACAGTACAACACTGGTAAATTTATTTTGCATGTGAACCTGCAGCCAGTACATACACCATAAATTCTTTTTTTGTGCACAGGACTGGTCGGTTTTCAACAGGGTCCCTCTTAGGCATTCCTTATACGAATTGAACCCAGTGTTTTGTCACTGAACAAAAATTACCGCTGGAGGCTGATCCACCAATGAAACTCATTTGTACCTATAATTTTGAAACCGTGTTATATAAGAAATGTTGTAAGGCATGTTGCATTGTGGGATGTGTGGTCAAATCATCAGTCGGTCAGGGCATTCCCCGATTTATTATTCAGGTCCTTGACAGAGGTGCAATGCTGACGCAGATTTTTATATTTGTTCACCACCTGTCTAGTGGTGAACTGAAACCCCATCTCTGCAATTGTTTGCAATTAATTATTGGTATTCTGCATCTAGTCATGCTTGAATAAGCTGCACTCTCCTCGGTGACCTTGACTGTCAGTGATAATTTTTTCTTTTTCTTTAGTTTCTTTCAGAACTGGATTTTGTTTCACTTAATTAACCAATTGTTTATCCTTTTGTGAGTTTTTTTTTTTTGAAACTGGAAATACATACATCAACCCATATCTTGTAATGGCTAAGGAAGCAGCCAATCTCTCCCTTGGTCAGGATTCTTTCATGGTACGGGTCCTTGTATCCATCCAGCATGTCAATTCCCATTTCTTTCAGTTTGTCATCTGTTAGTTGTCTGAAATAATACATAGGAAATATTAATTTAAAATGGATTATTTGCACACTAACTTATACATGTGTAATAGTCACGTGTGCATTTGGGAAATAAGTTCTTTGGAAGTAAATTCAAATTATATCATTATTTACCTTATAGCATTTAATCACATAACTGAAATGCACAATAATGTTTAATTGAAAACAAACAAATATAAGTTCAAATTTAGGAACAATATAAAGATAAGAAATATAAAGCTCCCAAATGAAAAAATATCCTAAACATTAAACTATACAAATAATACATTAAACTATACAAATAATATATAATTAGTTTCAATATATTAAATTACACAATAAAACAGCCTGTAGACTGAATACATCAAAAGGACAATACAAAGTAGACAAATTGAATAATAAAATGAAAAACTGCAACAAATAGTCTACATTTAACAATAAATTGCGGTAGGTCTGTCTCACGTTGAAACCAACCAAAAGCATAAGCTGAACAAAGAGTAAGCATTGATACTTGTTTATAAGGTCAAAAATTGTAAAGGCTTTAGCAAAACCTGACAAGGTGTTTATTCATACATGCAACCAAATTTCAGTAATTTTGATGGAAATATCCCACAAAGTGTCTAAAAGGCCATTTTAAATTACTATTCCAAGAAGGGCTTTTTGAAAGCATTATACTGTCATAGCAAATTCAACATCAGAATCTTATTTCCACCTCATACACAATACACAATATAATACAAGCATGAATATACATAATATGAGTATGGGAGGAGGTGTTGTGACAAAATGAGTCTTGTGGTACACCAGGTCAATTTGATATATTCAAGAAAACATATCTGAACTGATATTTTTGACAAAAATGGGTTCGTCAATGTTTCTGTTTCTGAAGTTTACTATGTATATTTCATGGTAGCAAAAGTTCTGAGTTGAGTTAACTACAGTAAGGTAAACATGTTTTTGAGGCACATTTTTGTGAAGATATTTTTCAGAATTGATAGAAAAACCAACACAAAATTTATCAGTTATCTTCAGAGGCAATTTTCTCTTAAGTATGTTTTTAGACATCTGAACTCGGGCTCCAGAGAAATTTTTTTTTTTTATGTTGTAGAACTGATTTTTCTAAGACAAAAAAAAGAGTTTGATCAAAAACTGAGAAACGGTGAATGAGAATTTTGAATATTTAAAAACTGGGGGAAAAAGGTGTAAAAATGAGCAGTTACGCCCCTTTTCCCCCCAGTTTTTAAATATTCAAAAATCTGTATCTCGTTCACCGTTCCGCAGTTTTTCGCCAAACATTTTTTTAGAAAAATCAGTTCTACAACATATCAACATTTTTTTTTCCTCCTTTAAAATGATCTTACTTCAGTTTTACTGAAATTATGAACATGATTTAAAGACCAAAATAAAGCTTATATAGTCATCCATTTAAATATATCAACTAATTTTTCATTTTTTTGTACCACAAGACTCAATGTGTCAGAACAGCTCACAGTTATTCATGCAATGCAAAACTACATTTAATAAGCTATAGCCCCTCCCCTGATACAGAAATTGATTTACATATCGGATATAATTAAAAAAGTACATTATGATATATAAAAAATAAAAACAATAACAACAATAACCATTGATTTGGATGCATTACTCCTAGTGTGCATCCTTTACAATAATCGCACGCGCTGTTGATGATGTTAATATTTTAAAATTTGTCCGACCTCATTAATGACATCCAATGCAGGAAGGAAATATAAAAAATTTGATAAACGTGAATCAATTAATACTTATGGGAAATCGTTCGATGAAAAAATATTTTCAAAAAATGGGAAGAAAACCTTCATCTATAGTGTAGCAAAGAGATGAAAAAAAACCCCATTTTTTGACTGGACTAGAGAAGGGAGTGCAGCGTAAAATTTAAAAGAATAGCCTAAAATTGATAGATTAATATATGTGAACTAAAATATATTAAAAAATATGTAATCCATACTAGTATAATATGTGCTCAAATTGCATAAATCTTAAAAAATTTCCTTCAGTTTTTCCCTACTTGGGTAACTCCAAAACTGACTGCATACCATTCAGCTTACATGATGGATCGCCACTGTTTATTTTTTTCCTCAAATAAATTCCCCTCTAAATGACTGTAAACAAATCTAATAGAAGCAACATCATTCTCAGAACATTCTAATAATGTTCTACTCCTGTAGAATTACATATTTTCTGTTTCAGATCGAGAAGTCTGTTATGGTCACGCAGTTCCACATTTACAGTGCAAGTAAGTGCCGTTTATTTGATTATATATGTATCCACTTTACACAAGATAAAATAAACACCGTCCTTGAATAAACGCCTTCCTCGAATTAACGTCCTTCAAAAACCCTTCTCAACAATAAATGCCCAGATGCGTTCAAACATTCAAATAAATACGGATACATTAACCCTTTGAAGTCGCGGTCCGTATACTATACGGACCAATTTTCTGTCGCAGGAAGCACGCTCTGTATACAGTACGGAGTGACGTTTAACGCTGCTACCCTCTATTTAATGAGTCATTTTGAGGATTTCCCTATTGTTGCTGCAACTGGATGTGCAGAAGCATTCAAAATTTCCAAAAGAAAGCAGTCATTTAGCGTCAGTGACGTGCTTACGCTTATTTTAGCAGACGATGAGAGTGGGGATGAAAATATCAATCTCGGTGAAGATATATATTATTCTGCAGTGAGTAATGACGATTCAGGTGATGATGACACCACTGCTAGTAGTGTATTAACTGACATAAGCCCTAGGTTTAGCTCTAAGCACGAGGAGGAAGTGCTTAGTTTATGGGTAAAAAAATACCCCTTTAGGCCCCTGAATTGCAATTTTTGGGCACTTGACCTTTGACCTAGGTCAAAAAGGTCAAAAATATTTAAATTTGTTGAGACTCATGCGCATGTATTCCATCCAGCAAACAAAACATCATTTGCTAATTTCAAGGGTCATAATAATTACCCTTTTTCTAACACAAATACCCAAATGGAGCCCAATATTTACATCGGACTTCGATATAAAAAATATTTTTATATTTGTGTTTTATATAAAAACACAAATATTTTTTTCCTGTAGAAAACAACATATTCTACATAATATGTAACATTCATGAACATAGGAATTTTTTTCTTGACGTTTACAAAGGGTTTTTGGGTAAAAAAATACCTTTTTTAGGTCCTTGAATTTCAATTTTTGGGCACTTGACCTTTGACCTAGGTCAAAAGGTAAAAAAAAATTGCTATTTTTCGGAAGCCTAAAACATATTACACAACAATCAAACCATCATTTATTGAAAGTTGCAGTCATAAAAATGTATTTTACGTTTTTCATAAACCTATTAACAACCCCTTAATAGGATTCAGTGACTTGGGAAAAGTCATTTGGGACTTCAAAGGGTTAAAGGTACTTAATTGGACACAAAATGACTTACAATAACAGTTCTATATACTTTCTGAATATATTGTGATTGTGTTCTTGTTGTTGGATGATAGCAGATAAAGCATAAATGCATTGAAACAACTTCTGGTACTTACTTTCCATCTACTGCATCTAAGATGGTATAATTTAGTGACAATTCATGAAGGGATTTAATCATTCGCTCTCTTCTCTTCGGCCTACGTTTCAAGTTGATCAAATAGATCTCATCAACTCCTAACTTAGTCAACGGCTTAAAAGGTGGGCTAATATAATTAGACAAAGGCATTGGCTCATGATCAACTGAAAAATAAAGAATAGGTTGCAGTGTCATAAACTATTATTCTACTACATATTTTTTGATAACTTTTACAGACAGTTGTCTCATTATTTTATGTGTAATTTGAAATTATTGAAATTGATGTAAAATTAAGTTTGCTCCAGCATACATCTACAAATTAAAAACATAAACACAGAAATGATAATGGTGTGACAACAATGACAATAAAATACATATATATTGTAAACCAATTTTTTGTAAATCTAATGTTATTAGAATTAAAAGTACATCCAGAATAAAATTTGTTAAATACTGTAATATCAAGAATTTCAAAATATATATAATAACAACTTTCACAATGTGAAGAAAGTGTCAATATTTTGCAACTTTATTATTACTTACTAATGATGAAAATGGTGATGACGACAATGGTGATGATAATGATGGTACTAATGTTAAGATAAATATTTAAAATAATGAACAAATCTTGTTAATTGATTAATGCTACTAACCCATAACCTCTATCCGCTGGAATATCATCTGTTCTTGATCTTCTTCTAGAGTATTTGTAACACCAGCTGGGGTTGATAGACTGCCAAAGAATACTGCATTTATCACATACATAGGAATGACTACGGATACAATTTTGAAGCAAGTTAAGAAATTAATGTTTCTTTTATGCCAATTACTGTCACTCAGCAATTAAATGACCATAAATTTATTAAATTGTCCAACTTTCATTCACACAGTGGACTTCTACCCTCCTCCATTTCATGCATGGATCCAGACCTTCACACCTTTCGCTGTTGTGAAGGTCTAGGTGAGAAATATAAATTTAAAATATAGACCTGAAGCAAATGGAAACTAACTGACCGGTGATAATGGCACCTAATCAGTTCATATATTTTGTATTATTAGAAAAAAAGTTAAAAAAAATCCCTCAGATCGTCCGACCGACCGATAGAATGGTTAACTCCTTTGCACCCCACCCAGTGGACCTGCTCCCTTGGACAGTCAGGGAGAGCTATAGATCTGCACCTGCTTCCACAATTCTGAGGAAGTCTACAAACTCCAGGATTTAATAAATTTATGGTTAGCCTTTACAGTGCTAAGTTCTCTTGTCATTCATATGTTTTTATACTTAGACTAACATAGCTATGCTTGTTTAGAAATATTATTGGGAACTGAACTATGGTATGGTTTTGTTTCATTTGGCAACATTTATCAAAATTATCAATGAATGCATCAATGTAGTTTACTTTCATGTTTACTCATGACAATGTTAACATTTTAAAAATTCTATTTTGTATAGTGAATCAAAATATGAACGTACATGCTTTACGTGCGGAGTAGGCAAATATCAGCATGTCATCTAGGTCTCCATCATATTCCGGAGACGGTGTGTATTGAAGATCGAGGGATACCTGTCGTTGCAAGTCAACCATATATGTTGAATGTATCATAGGAACTTGAAAGATGCCAGATATGTTACGCTCCAAAATTTCTGAATACTCTGGTGTTCTTCGATAGTAACCCTAAGAGAATAAGGATATAAAAATATCTATCTTTATATGACTTTATTATGCTTTGGCCTTCCATTTTTTCTGGAGGTTGACATTGTATTTTTATATGAACATTATTGAGTGATATACTACAAGCTTACTGCTATAGTCTGGTTGTTTTGCCAATGTCCCCCGATAAGAAGGCCGAGTCCTCAACCTAAGTGGGAACCTAAGTGGGAGGGGCCAAGAAAAAAGTTAAAGCAGTTTTAGTGAGACTTCATTTTTATTCAAATTTCAATGATTTTCTATGTCAGAAGCCAACGATAAGAGAATTTTGTAAGCACAGACCTACAAATGTTGTCATCTTTGTGAAAAAAATGCCTGAAATCCATAAGGAAGTATCTAGGAGATCCAGGAGCAACCTTAGACCCATGATAAGATGTAGGTGAAGGGATACAATGGGAAGGATCTGATGTATTCTAGCATGTAAATGGTCAATTTTATCATCATTTCGAGGGTATTTAGTGCAACAAGTTGGTTATTTGTTTGGTTTTTTTATGAGAGATTCTTGCTCAAAGGAAAAGGAAAATCACCAAATCAAACAATTTAAGATATGAAAGATGTTAGATTCTTTGAGTAGTAAGAATCCTGAAGTTTAAGCATCTAGTGCCTAGGAAAAAATGGAACTAATTTTGGGCATTTTAAGTTGTTTTCAAGCATTGTAAAGTTAAATTTACCCAATGGGAAGATCCACTACAACGGCTTTAACCTTATTTCCCCAACAAGGATTTGAAAAGGAGCTTTTACCATGTTAAAGAGGACGCTTGTTAAATCAACATTTGTTGATGACCTAAAACGACCATACTATTACAAGAAAGAGTTGAAGAACTGCCCTTTACAAACATTGTAAGAATTTCAAGCTCCTTAAAAAAAAAAAAAAAAAAAAAAAAAATTTAAATTCTCAAGATTTGTATTGCTGATGCTTGGAAAAACTTTTTTAGGTTTCATCTTTATTCAGGTTTTCATGTCATATTTTCTATTCAGAAGTCAAGGAAGATTGTACATGATAAAACTTACTGATCGGTAATGATTGTTCCACCTAATGCACACCTATCTATCCTACATCAACTTTTAAAATTCATGATCTTTTATAATGCTGAAACCTTCCCAGGTATAGTATAAGTTTCTACATAAGTTTTCAAGTTAGGTGGTCAATATTGATACAAGTTAGCTTTACAGTTCAGAACAAACACTTCAGGGTGATGACTCTAGGTTTAGTACCAATTTAGTTTGGAAGCTAATTCCTACAAACCTAAATAGTAGACATTACAATACACCTCATTATATGCATTCTCCGGGTTAATTTAGCTTTTGTTATAGTAGGATCTGAACACAATTAATTCTTATTTTAAGGACTCTGACATTTGCCTTAATACCCATCTGTGATAGAATACCAGATTTGAGAGATTTCTTGATAGCTAAAATATAAATAAATCCATAAATATTTAAAAATTATTATCAACAATGGAATGGAATTCCATTCAGCTTTTCACAAAGTTAGAAAATGCTTTTTAATCTCAGTAGTTGTTTGAATTTTGAATGCATTTGAGTTGGAATAAAGGTGACGAAAGAGAATATAATCAACAGCGGAACGCGATATTAGTGAAACAAGTTCAACTGTAGGTCAACATCACATCCGGCCAAGAATGAGACCTCGGAACAAAGATTAAAGAGCGATGTTCAAACACCTACTGTAATGCAACAAGTTCACACAAAACCCCACATAAATAATAGTTTTCAAAAAGTTACATTTACCCTTGGACTATTTACTTGCTATTTATTTACTTCTTTATTTATTTATTTTCTTCAGCGCTACGATCTTGATGTAGCAGCACTATATAAATACAAAGTAAAGTATGTATGTATCAATATACAAGATATTGTTGTTCCAATTTACTGCTAGAAATTCATTAAAATTCGTACATCAGTCACATATAATGTCAAATAAATAAAGAAAAACAAATTAAATTTCTTGTCCCATAATGAATCATGCAGTACAAGTTTCTTCTAAAAAATATCTTTGAATTAAAAACCTTGTAATTTTTGGTACAGTTTTAAAGTTACTATTAGACTATCATTGTTTTATTTATTTCCTCTTTGAGGCTATAGAAATATAATGTCCCTCCAATTAAAGACATCTCCAATTAAAGACCGCTTTTTTGCAGGCCCGTATGAATGCCTATCTTTATCATTAGTTGTTCCCCTCCAATTGAAGACTACCCTCTATTTAGAGACCAAGGACCATAATTTTGGTTAACCCATAAATATAATAAATTTTGTTATGATATCAATCATACAAATATTATCCAACGCACATCAAAAGATGATATTTTGCATACATTAAATACTGACAATGTTACTAATATTTTAAGTTGAGTAGATCGAGTACAGGTCTACCCAACTTCCCTTGTCCAGCTACCAAGAGATGTTTTAGTATGAATAAAAACAGCATCCATCCATTCTAAAACATGTAAACATTTAATGTATTATATTATTAAAATTTCCATCTAAATGTAGTGGAAAACAATGGACAGCTTGGCAATTTCTTCATGATTTTTGTGTGGGAGTTTTTTATTTACATTGAATTGATAAAAACATTAGAGGAAGAATATGTACTTTCTGTACATGTTTTTATTTCAGAATTATAGTTGGTTGTATCTATGATTATGAATGTAGATTACCTGTTCTATATTAATCAGAAACAAATCAAGTGAGTTTTTCTGGTTATTACTTTTGTAATTTTACAAATTTATTTGTTAAAGATAAATTTGCTTTCTTTTATATTTACATTTTAATGTATTAAAAAAAAATAAATAAAACTTGATTATTATGTTGTACTTTTTTTTCTAGATATAGATTGTTCATTATAAATTTTGTCAATTTTTCCAAATAATTTTCCTATCCCCTGAGCTGAAAAGACAAGGTAACTGTGAAAATAATAATTATCACCATAAAATTTACACTGGATTTTTATCTCTTTTAATTATGTCTATCATGTTAGGCTTACTTTAATGAGCCAAGTTCATCGAAACACAATCGAATACCATTTATTCATTGAAACAAACAGTTTAATTATAAAAAGGAATGTAAATTAGGAGTCAATACTTCCTTCTAAAATTTACTTTAGCCATGTAGGATTTTTTTCAGAAAAAATGGCTCCTTCAACTTCTATTTGCCATATTGTCCTCAGACTATGGATAATTGTGTATTATTAGATTGTTGTTTACAATTTTAGTATTTTTTTTTTTGTTAGTACCTGTTGTTATTTGGTAGCAAAATTGTATTGTGAATATATCTTATAATAGTAAAAGTAATCATGCCAGAAAGAATGCTTCTATGGATCTACAAATAGTTGGAACTACAGAATTACTGTATAATAATCTTTGAAAGTACTGTAAGGGATTTTCATTCAAATTTGGTACCTTTCTGTTCCATACTGTAATCTCATAACAAAGGCACCACTAAAACCTAAACACCATTATCATACAACTGAAAAGCTTTTGTAATCAAGGGGTACAAACAGACCTCTGTCATACAACTGACACAAATCCAGTTGGTTGCTTTCTGATTCTAGTTCTACCTTACATTCAAGCATCGAACAAGAAAATAACGTACTTGAATATGAGGGGCAATGGCAGATCCAATATAATGGGCACAGTTTGTGCCTGCTTGGTGCTTGTAGTCACTACTCAGTTTGGATCCACTTTAGTTAATTATATATGAAATGATGTGATATTATTAGTAGTGCTAGCAATGTCATTTCAATGTGCAGTAAAAATTGCCCCGGTAAAAATGGCCCTGGTAAAAATGGCCCCAGTAAAAATGGTCTGAAATGACAGGTAGGTAAAAATGGCAATCAATAATAAATTCTGTATTAAAACTGATTTTTTTAAAATTATTATACGCATTTTTTTAAAACTGAAATAATTTGGTTTTTAAAAAGAATCTAACATCAAATAAATTGCCATTTATATTTTTGTTTTTGCAGGAATTACTTATTGATTCAATTCTTGCTATTTTAGTATTTAAATATTTAAAGATTTCAAATAAAAAAAGACATTTCTATTAGTTTAATTTTTTCATTGGGGTCATTTTTACCTACTTGTCATTTGGGGCCATTTTTACCGGGGTCATTTTTACAGGGGCCATTACTACCGGGGCTATTTTTACAGGGGCCATTTTTTCCTACATTCCATTTCAACATTGACAGTTGATGATATTAAATTTGGTATACTGGAATTAATTCTAACAAAGCAGTCACATATAAGTAATTCAATTATACATAAATACACACCAATCATACAGTTAAATACACAACAGACTTGAAGCACATTGTGAATAAATTTAGGTGAGAATTAAAAACTAGTCTTGACTAATCATGACAGAGGTAAATTGAGATAATTTTGCTAAGCTAGCAGGCCTAAATTGAAGGAGACAATAGAACAGTATGTAACCACCATATCTAGTGGAAAGTCTTTTCTCTTTTTCTGCTCCAATACTTAACTATGTATCTTATCCTTTATTTGAATGTCATTCACTACTGAAAAATACTTGTTACACAATTGTTAATGGGCCAATAGGAATGCAAAGGAACAGCTTGGTACAAAAATCAGAATGATGAATAAAATTTGGACTCTATACACATTTTTGCATGAGGTGATCTGTTTGTATCAATTCAATGGTGCTATTATTTGTTTTCTAATTGTTGGAAAACTAGAGGTATGTCACATTGTTTTCTTCCATTTAGACCTCTAGTGTAAATCTCACACTTGCCTTTAATACAAGGGTTCAACTTAAAAGTTTGCAGGTGACAAGAAAATTACAATGATGTGATATATTAACTTTATTATTATGACCACAATTGGTTTTGGTTTTGTAATATATACAATGGAGCAATGATTGTACTATCACCTTGCACTAACAACAATAATGAAAACAATGCTTTTATAATCTTGTAGTCAGTAGGTGTACCC